ATAGAAAACCTATAGATGTTACCTATAGATCGGTAAATTACTAAACTACGCATATCAAATTAAAACATAATACCCGTTCATAAATTCTTTCACCTGCCTACCTTGTCCCGTGCTGTCAATAAAAAAAAATCTGCATACACACGGACCAGTTGACCACACAGTAAAGCAGACCCAAAAAAAAACACAAACCAAATCAAGTTCATCCAGGGAAGTATCAAATGCCAAAGGGGATCTGAGTTCAAACTTTCTAGGACTAGGCTAGTGAGTAGTTTACATCACAGCAAACATTCAATATAGGCTGAAAACAATGTAATCATCACAGCAAACATTAACAAATATAGGCTGAAAACAATGTAATCATCACAGCAAACATTAACAAATATAGGCTGAAAACAATGTAATCATCACAGCAAACATTAACAAATATATGTACATCACAGCAAACATTAAAGTAAAGTAATGTAATCATAGAAATAAAGCTATAGAAGATGTTATGAATGGAAATAAAATTATGACCTAGAAAGACATTGAAAAATTGGCAATTGGGTTTAACTTTTTAAGCCCTGACCTCGATGGCAGAGACGGAGAAGAGCAAGATGATAGATGAGACGAGGGATGTCCGGACGGTGACTCACTGTCGAGTGCCGGCTGGAGTGGTGGTGCCTGGTGACGGTGACAAGCCGCAGGCGTGAGGGTCTGTGTTGTGGAGAAGTCGAGACGGTGACAGGCCACAGGCGTGAGTGACCACGACGAGGTGGTCGAGGTCGACGGTCGACCGGCTGAGTGGCTGACGGGCGAGTGGCGACGGTCTTCGTGGTCGTGGTCTTCGTGGTCGTGGTCTCGTGGATGATGATGTGAGAAGTGAGAAYTGAGAATTGAGATTGTGAAATGTGAATTTGGGATTGGGACTTGGGAGRCGGGAGCACTCTGCTGCCGGTTATCCTTATTGCCTTAGCCCAAGTAAAAGCCCAATTATATAATATAAATCAGCCCAAATAATAAAAATATTTAATATTTATAATTTTATATATATACCGGGTACGGGGCGGGTCGGGGGATACAATACCCGGCCCCGGCCCCAACCCCGGTTTGCCTCTACCGGGGATCCCCGGCCCCGGCCCCGGTACCCGTTTTAGCGGGGAATCCCCGTCCCCGTCCGGGTCGGGTGAACCGGGTTCCCCACCGGGTCGGGCCAAATCACCATCCCTACCTATAAACTCAATTTTTTGTAAGACATTTGTTTTTATAGGATAGTTTTTCAAATAGTGTCCTATAAAGTTGCTAATGGGACGCTTTATATTAGAAGTGTCCTAAAAAACTTATTATGACGTCAAAAAACGTCATATAAACTTATTACAACACATTTAGATAGGATATTTTATGTTTTTGGTCCTATACATTAAGTCCTATAAAGAGGTTTATTAGGACCCTTAAAAATTGGAAGTATCCTATAAACCCAATTTTATTGTAATGATAATGAATATATATTCCATTAAACAAACTAAGAGCATCCGTACATGGTCGACCAGAAAACCTTGAAGATCATTACACCATTGATATCTATTGGAAATAGCTTCCTGAAACATATTCCTTCATATACATTTATTCATCAAATAAAAGATGGCAGCCTTGGCACAATTTGAACTTCAAGCGGAGATGCCTTATCATTTATTAACCCTGGACTCTCAGTCATATCGACTGCTTCATCATTGGGAGTAGAAATGTCGAAATTTTGCAACAAAGTAGCTAAAACGATATGCAAGATTTGAAGTGCTAAACCTATTCCTGGACAGTATCTTCTTCCGGCACCGAACGGGATCAGCTCAAAGTTTCTGCCCTTAACATCTACATGCATATGAGTCTCATCAAGGAACCTCTCAGGTCTAAACTCATATGGGTCTGACCAGATTTCTGGGTCATGTTGGAGCTTCCATATATTCACCATCAACCATGTGCCTTTAGGGACATGATAGCCAGCTAAAGTGCAATCTTCAGAAAATTGTCTTGGAGCTGCAAGTGGTGCTGCTGGGTATAACCTCAGCGTCTCCTTTACAATAGCTTGGAGGTAGACTAGTTTGTTGATGTCTGAATCATCAACTTGCCTTTCGTTTCCAACATGTTTATCGATTTCCTCTTGAGCCTTTTGAAGAGCATGGGGGTTGTTCAATAGCAGTGAAAGTGTCCATGTTAACATGACAGTAAGGGTATCTGCACTGCTAGCAAGTATATCCTACAAGATACAAAGTGTTAGACAGCAAAATCAAGAAAATCTTTACCTACTTTAAATTTTATGTTAGCAGATTTGAAGGTAAAATTTATATATAGCATCAGAACGAACCAAGCATGTAGACTTGATAATCGCATCAGCATCATGAGCTCCCAAGCCTCCAGTTTTTACAGCCGATATCATTACATCCATGAAGTCCCTTTCTTCAATGGCCTGACTGGAATCTCTCTTCATCCTGTGCTCATCCAACCACTTTCCGATTATACAATCAATATCTTTGGCAACTCTTTTCATGGCCTTCTCATGACCACCCAAATCTAACCACCTTAGGAAAGGAAGTGCATCTCCCACCACAAAAAGGCCGAGGAATTGAAAAAACTCCCTCATCACTCGACGACACCTATTCATCTCTTTCTCTTCTTCACTGTTTGTAGCACCACTAAGCCGTTTTCCAGCAACCATTCTAATCATCACGTTCATATCTAATTCCCCAAACCATTTCTTCATATCCACCAACACTTTCCCCTGCCCATCTCCCTTCTCTCTCCATAGCTCATACATGTTTCTGATAGAGCTCTCCAGTTCAGAGACAAGGATATGCTTATACTGCTCAAGGCGTCGGCTTGATAACAGCTCGGTGGAGGCAATCTTACGCATTTCTCGCCAATATGGACCATAAGGTGCAATTCCAAACATGGCATAGTTATATCCCAAAATTTTAGCTGCTGTAAAGCTGGGACGAGAGGAGACGATTGCGTCATGGATGGTGAAAATCTCCTTAGCGATCTTCCAATTATTCACTACCAAGATTCTGTTTACCCCAAGACGAACAGTAAATATGGGTCCATATTTGACAGCCATGGATCCTAATGCTATGTGGGGAGGATTTGATGATCCTCCAAAGAGCTTTAAGTGGCCTGTTATAGGCGAAGCACCACCTGCTTCAGGTGCAGCATGATTTTTTCTAGTTTCAAAGACGAATGATGAGAAATAAAACACCAAAGCTACAACTACAGCTCCTAGAAAGAGAGCATAATTTTGCTGGAACCAAACGAAATCCATGGGAAGATGGATGCTTTTATGGATCACTTAGTTTTTTTTTATGAATAGAGAGAGAAATATGCGTGAAGAAGCAAATGGGAATATGATTTTCTTGATAATCAAAAAGGATGTAAACCTACTCTTTATATTGCAGAGAGAGACACTAACAGAGGCTTCTAGAAGACTAGAATAACCACCACTAAGGGTGCGTTTGGTGCGCAGACAGGACTGGACAGGACAGGACAGGATGGGACAGGACAGGACACGACAGGACAGCTGTTCAGCGTTTGGTAAGACAGGACAGGACATGACATAACTGGTTAAAATGACCAATTTACCCCTAGTGAGCTGTTTAGTGTTTTTTTCACTACGAAATGCAGGGGCAGTGGGTTCATCATCTTCATCCACAATATCAAACACATTTACCAAAATTCAAGTTAAAGTCACAAACGGTTCCTTAGTTCATCCACAATATCAATCACATAAACGGTTCCTTAGTTCATTACCAAACCAAAATTCAAACACAAATTGATGCAAGGAAGACACTGTTAATTGAACACAAATTCATTACCAAACCAAAATACAAACACAAATACATTACCAAACCAAAATAAAAACACAAATTCATTACCAAACCAAAGGGAAGACAGAACTCGATTTGGTAAGAAGGTAGATAAACATTGATGGGCTTTAGCAAAGTGAGCTTGCCTGAGCTCATACAGACTATGGGAGGAGATCGATTCAGGGAACTTGACTATGATACAACAAATCATAGTCGTAAAAATTGACAGAGGGAGATTTGGGAGGAGATCGATTCACGGAAATACCTGATTGTTGTGAGACAGAAGATAGACAGATGTAGAGATGGTGGAGGCGACAACCGGCGACGGAGGAGACGGAGACGGTGGAGGCGACAACCGGCGACGGAGGAGACGGAGACGGTGGAGGCGACCGGCGATGGAGACGGTGGAGGTGACCGGCGATGGCGAAGCTGTGGAATGCGACGTGAAGGCGACGTGAACTCGGGAGAGGCAGCAACTCATGGGAGACGATGAGATCGATTGGAAGGAGCAGCGGGCTGTTGCCTGTTGAAAGGTCGCCGTCGATGGGAGGAGCAGCGGGCTGTTGCCTGTTGAAGGTCCCCATCGATGGTCTTGTGAAGGCAGAACTCGTGTGTAGGGGAAGAAGGGGTAATGAGGGAAAAAGACTTCTGTTCCACTTAGTTCCAGGGTTAATGGTGGAACACGCTTGTCCCATGCTTGTACAAGTTAGTTCCACTTAGTTCCACATTTAGTCACATCAAACGTAGGACAAATGTGTTCTGTCCTGTCCTGTCCCACCCTGTCCAGCGTACCAAACGCACCCTAAAGTAATAATATTAATGACGTAACTGCCCTTTTTCTAATAACTGATCCCTCAAGATGGGCATGAGTAGATGTTCTTCAACGCCATCTTGGATAACAATGATGAAAGCTTGCATGAAGACTATGGCCTGGTAAAAATATTCACGAATCGATGTGTGGATTGAATTGGCACCAGACGAAGGCCATTTGCACTCATTTTTTCTCAAACATAGTGATAATCGGTGTCAATATGTTTAGTACGCTCATGGGATGACGAGTTAGTTGCAATTTGTCTAGCCGATTTATTATCAGAAAACATTGAAATCGACTGCATATGCTTCAACAATTGTTTGAGCCAAACTAATTGACAAGTGGTGGATCACATAGCTCGGTATTCAGCTTCCGTTGATGGTTGAGAAACGGTTGGTTATTCCTTTGGCTTGCACGATATCAAGGATTGCCCCAAGAATACACAAAAACCAATGACCGATCTCCTAGTATCTTTAAACTTTCTCCAATCGGAACACAATAAGTTTGCAAATAGACTTAGATTTTTACGAGAAAAACAACCCACTTTCCGGTTGCTGCTTCAAGTATTGAACCAAGTGACAAGCGGCTATGTAATGTCACTACAACAAAATTGGGTTTATAGGACACCCCCAATCTCTAAGCTTTCTAATAGACCATTTTATATAATTTAATTTATAGGACCAAAATATAAAACGTCTTATTTAAAGGTGTTGTAATAAGTTTATATGACGCTTTTGGGCGTCTTAACAAGTTTTTTAGGACATTTTTAATACAAAGTGTCGCGTCAGCAACTTTATAGAACATTTTTGAGAAAATGTCCTATAAACTCAATTTTTTATAAGACATTTGTTTTTATAGGACAGTTTTTCAAATAGTGTCCTATAAAGTTGCTAATGGGACGCTTTATATTAAAAGTGTCCTAAAAAACTTATTACAACATCAAAAAACGTTATATAAACTTATTACAACGTCTTTACATTGGACACTTTATGTTTTTGGTCCTATAAACCAAGTCTTATAAAGAGGTCTATTAGGACTCTTAGAAATTGGGAGTGTCCTATAAACCCGATTTTGTTGTAGTGTGTGAAACTCTTGGATTTGCCATGAATTGAGATAAATTCTGCACGACAAAAGATATGTTTGGTCATGTAATTTTTAGATACAATACTCTTCCAATCAATTGACGATATTGAGTTGTATCTTTAAGCAATTCACCATCTTTCTCATTCAAAGAGACATTCAAATCCATAGGCACATTAGGTGGTCCTCATCCTATTAGACCCATACATTCCAATATTTTTAAAGTATAATGCCTTGGAGATATTGAAATCCTTTTTGATCTTGCAATCTTCAATCCAAGAAAATATTTCAGGTGTCCAAGAGCCTTAAGTTTGAAAGCAGTACTCAATTGTTACTTAAGTAAGCTGATACCTGAGGTAGAAGCATCGGTGATGATGATATCATCCAAGTACAGAAGTAACGCAACAAAATTTTCTCCATTGCCTTTATTAAATAGGGAGTAATTGGCTTGGGATTGACAAAAACCAACGGGTGTCATGTAAGGCCAGTAAATTATGACATCTAGTTCGCTTATGGATATCTCTATCGTTATGATAGATCTATTAAGGATTCAGATCCGTTAACAAGGTTGTTAATATTGGTTTTAATTTTGTAGTTAAAGGTGATCAAAGCAAAATTTGAAGTGCAGAACATTGACTCATGCGGGTAGCCCCACGGCCTAACCCGTGGCAAAAGCGTGTAGCACGGGTGACTTTCATCGTGGCCTTAGCCGCCGAAGAAACCGCACGAAAAGTTCTAGGAGACTTAAATGCCTGATTTTTGGTCTAGGGTTTCATTTCTTCACTTTCTTCTTCTTCTCTCTTCATTCAAACCGGTAGGAGACATTTATTGATGCATTTAAGGAGCTTCTGAAAGATCTTAAACTAGAGATTCAAGTATGGGTCAAGATTGATAATTCATCTTCCTCATTTAGAGATCTTGGTTTCTAGGTTTTGTCTAGAAACCACCAAGGTGAGTTCCTTCCCCATTTTTAAAGCTTATTACATGTATAAATGACTATTACCTTCATAGTCTAATGTATGCTTCATGGATTTCGTTATGTAACAAGTGTAGGTCAGTTCTGATGACATTAATGGTGTTTTATTTTGTGGAAATGGCCTCGTTTTCAATATGAGAATTTTGCAATCTAATATTGATTTAAGACTTCTTCAAAGTAAATATGAGCTTATATTTGTTGAAATAAGATGTTTTGAATTTATGAAATAACTTGACACAAGGATTTACCTTTTCAAGGATAAATAGCTAATTTGGGATCTTCCTAAAGTCTTGGATAATATTCCCTAAATGCATGAAAGCTATGGATTTGCCTCACTAATGGTTTGATTATATTAATTACTCTTATATGTTGATTTTTACCTACACTCTTTTGGGGCCATAGTATGGAGATTTATTGGTGAAAAATACCTATTAAGTCTTTAATGCAAGTATGTTTTATCTCTAGTGTCTTGTTGCATTGATTCATATTCATTGTTCCTATTATGTCAAGAAAAGAGTTTTGATGTCCTCTTCTTAGTGTCATTGGTTCGGGACAAGGGAGGATTTTTGATGTTCTCACCCTAAAGACTTTGATTGTAGGCATGTGAGGAGTTTTGAGGTTATTGCCTTAGCCCCAAGTAGAGTATCACTACGACACACATGCTTAGGTGTGATCTACTCGTCAACATATTAATGTGGCTTTAGTGTTCCGCCACTTAATGGAATTGGGTCTCCCCGTTATTGACAGATATATTAATTGTACCACATCTTACTGATTAACATGGTTTTAGAAATGGACTATGGTCCCTTACTTTTCCCCAACATTTATTTATTTTAATGGAAGTAAGCCTTTTTGTCTTATCTTGCGGTTAAATTCGGCAATTCATTATTTTGTGAAATGATTGAGCTCACTAGGCATTAGCCTAACACTTCTTCTTAACTACCTTGCTTTAGCATCGCATAATAAGGAGGGGGAAATGATCTAGAGCTATGGAGTGCCATTTAGAGGCACAGACAGGGATAACATTTCTAGAGATCTCACACTTTTAGAATCCGATAGGAGTCTTTAGTACTCTAAGACAAAACATTGTTTTTGTGTTATCTTGTAAACTTTAATGCCCTTTTGGGTAAATACTTTTATTTTGTGTGTTTAATCGGTTTTTCTCCGAAGTTCAAATTTTTTGCTATTTTTAAATTTTGGGGGTGTTAGAAGTTGGTATCAGCTTAAATTTAAGTGAACTAGGTATAATATAGGGTACCTACACTTAAGCTAGTTTGAGATAAGCTATGACTATACGAAAATTGGGTAGAATCCTAAGTCGTGTTAGCCCTAAGGTTGTCGGAAGCACTGTTACCAAATGTTGTGATGATAGTGACGAGGATTTTCATGTGTCATATGTTCAGAATTTCAGTTGGCCAATGTTATTATGAATATATTATTGCTTGAATATGCTCATAATTACTATTATTATGATGCTTGCTAATAATGGTATTACGAATGAGTTTGTTAATCTTTTAAAGAATTAACAAATGTTGTTTGTCATGGATATGACAGATAAGGATGGTAAATACCCGTAGCCTCAAATATTTCCTGA